TATGTTATATCACTGAGTACTTGGGCGTCTGTATGTCCGCACCTTCTGCCTGCCTCAGGGTGTACGTCTCCCTCTCTTTGGCTCGCACTTTTTTTCCCGGCCGTTGCGACTGTCGAGTCTATTCTCGAGAACGTAATAGCCCGCTAGAGGGAGGGTTCGAATGGCATAAGAGGACGAAAAGAGTGATGAGGTGAGCAGGAATCGAACCCTGGGCCTCAAATTTGCCAATCAAGTGTGAAACCACTACACCCACCACACCCAAGACATCCCCACCACTACAACGGGAGAGAGATGCTTCTGCGCACACCTATTCGCTCCCTACTTAGGGGACCCGAGACGGACTTTTCCACAGGGACGTGTAAAACATTCCCAGCGTATTACACTTGGAGTCCCCATCATCCCAAGGGGAAGGAAGACTTCCTCGCTGAGATGAGATCTCAGCCCATAAATATTGCTCTGGATCTCGACCCATTTATCAATCGGTACCCGTCCTCTTATTGATCGGCACGCTCAGAAGGAAAGTGACTCCCGTGGGTGAAAACGGCGGCATCCCACATGCATGGAACAGGAGCGCTTATTCTTATTCGCTTATTCGAAAAGACGACGTCGTCCGCGTCGTAACCATCCCGTTTCTCTATCCGAATTTGTCATTCATACAATGGCGGCCATATGCTTAAATACAAACAATTGCCGACATTTCGCGACCGGTGATCGGTCACTTAACAACATTGGACGTTGATGATTAGTAACGCATTATGATGGCCATTTATCGAGGAATTCAAGAAGGTATTAACCATGCCGATCGCATCATCAATAGCGGAGATTTTGCCAAATAAGCGCAGTCAGTGCAAAAATGGCGCGGTCCTATTTTTAATTACAAACGCGGAACCGTATTTTTCAAAGTCAATACAACTAAATGGAGTTGACGAAGCGCTTTATTGCGATCAGTACGATGTGGCATAACCGTTCATCTTCATCACTTCGGCACATCTTCTTGGCATCGAGTCAATCAGACGGAAGCTTCTTTCAGCAGGAATGTCATGCCAAGCTGCTTCAATGGCCGCCATCAATTCCTTGCAGTTCTTCACCGTCTTACTCTTCACAGCCTTCTTGACATCCGCCCAGAGCATTTCGATCGGATTCAGGTCAGGCGATTGAGCTGGCCAATCCAAAACGGTGATGTGATGCTCCTCGAACCACTCTTTCGCACGGCGACTCGTATGTTTAGGGTCATTATCCTGCTGTAAAATGAAGCCACGACCCATTTCGCGCCTGGCATATGGCAGCACCACGTAAGATTAATTGGGCCATCATACTGCATTATTGAGAGGTTGGAAGATGCATCATTCTCATGCTTGAATCTTACAATTGCATGGCTAATACGAGGATTTCCGGATTCATGCGACTTATTGTATGAATGTCACTTTTCAGAGCCAGCCTGGATGGGAGTCTGCTTGAGGCATTTGTGGGAGCATGGAACTATGCCTAGAAGAAGAATGAAGGAGGGCAGATAGCCAGGTAAATTTGGAACCTAAGCTCTGGAGGGAAAAATACAGGGCGACCCCCCCAAAAAACGCCCGGTTTGAGGCTTTACACAGCTCGCCATGGATGATCTAGGCTCTTGATGTTTGCGTCTCACATTGGAAACACCACATAATTTGCTTCCTGAAAGGTGGCCTCATGCATCAAGGTGGCCTGAACAAAATTTGACAGTCGTTCAAAGCGGAGTCATAAAATGTTCCTTTTCCGTGCATGAATAAATGGAGGATTACCCCTTCTCGAATGATTTCTCTCCGTTGACGTCAAAATGCCACTCTTTATGCCAGTTGTCATCATAGTATGGAATCGATTCAGATTCTACGATTTAAGACAGTAGGACTATTCTAAGTGTTGAATAGTACGACAAGAACATGCCGCCATAGAGACTAATTTTTACGCCTAGTGAGAAGAACTCCTGAAGCAGTGCTGGAACTTCATCCACCTCAAACGCGGAAATAGTATATTTTATGACTTCACTTTGAATGATTATCGATTTTTATTCAAACCTCTTAATTGCATGCAACTCAGATTCCGCTGAGCAGCAAGAGGCAGCGAATGCCGAGCTCCGGAATAGGAGAGCCGTGCAGCCAGCTAAGCAACTTGATGCAAGGTTGAGCATTTTCAGGAATTAGTCTTTAGCATTGTGCCGCACGTGCACTAACTTCCCTCTGTGCCGTCGAACATGTACTTGGAAACGGTCCGTACAGTTTCAGAATCATTGGTGTCTGTACCATACGCTAACGCTAATAGCCGATGAGCTAATCGGCGATGCAAGAGTGTTGAATGTGCTAGGAAGACGAAATCAGCAATGTCGTATTGAGTCTCATGCAATGTGCTAAACCGAGGCGTTCACAATGGCGATTGTGGCAATCGGCTCGAATATCATGATGATGGTGTTTAGGAGCAGAATCTCTCTGTGTACTGTAAGCTCTATGTGTATAAATGTAATGAAGCGGTTCAGTTCTGAATGGATAATGTAATGAACAGAGGATTGTCAAGAAGACGTATTGTTCATAATAGACGATTCAAATTCCCACATACCTGTACTAGACGGCCAGCGTAGCGGCCGCCGGCTGCTAGTGTACTTGATATATTTTTTTTATGAAGTACGTGAAAAAAACGATATCAGCTGACAACCACCGTTTATTGAATCTCATACTATTCGAGTATTTCGAATGCATTCGCATTGTGAAGATTTCAAATTCAAGGACATCATTTCATCAGCGTTTAACCTTGATATTAATGAAGTTCGCTGAATCTTCATATCCTTCTGGGGCACTCCTGGAAAAATGGACCCCTTCCCCCCACCCACCTTAATCCGGCCCTGGTCCATTCTAAAACCTTCAATGACTTCATTTCTTGATGCTACCACAGTTTTACTCCTTTATATCTACAGTAGCGAAGACGCGCAGGCAAACTATCCGCGCACGGAAGGAGAACTTCCCGCAGTGGGGAAAATCGAGCTGTGTAAATACTTTTTTCAATTTGGGAAATTTGGAATCTCTCTCGGGTCTGTTGATATTCAAATGACTTTGACGGTTTCAGGAAACCCAAGTGTTTATCGAAATCATGCAAGTCACTAGGCAGATTCAAATTCCGTCCAGATTCCACAAAACCTTACACCATACTGTGAGATCAATTTACCATCCCTCTGAGCAATTTTTTTTTTAAGTAAGCGCTTCATCATTCGTATCGAAGGGTTTCCGTTGAATGCTCTCACTTTTCTCTTGAGAATTTCTTCATCTACTGATCATAACCCAAAAGCTGGACTGGAGCTGGAAAGCTTTTTTCACTGAAAGATTTCCTTCGTTTTTCCTACTTTCCAAAAAAATTGAAATCATTCTTTCTTTGTGTATTTCGGAATCGGAAGAAAGACAAAAATAAGTTATTCCTATTGGACTCCAAGTGTACCAGTCATCCTTAAATAGTGAATGATTTATCCTGTTATGGGCAATGCCAATGTTGTTATTACTTGTTGTGACATCCAAAATATACTTACTGAAGAGCTATATTTAATGCGCAAATGGACACATACATCTACGAAATTACTTTGCAACTTGCTAACCAGCTAAATTTCAAGGTAAAGAATCCCCAGGCGGGGTTTCTGGACAATTGTCTCGCTCCTGCAGGAAGGGTTTTCCGGCCGATAGATGTGCATCTGCTCGAGGGAGGTTCCTGAACAATTGCTTCACGTCTACATCATGGGTTTCTAGGCAATTGGAAAATACGGTTAGCTCGAGATGGGTTCCTGGACAATTATCACACATACACAAGTTGGGTTTCTTACCAAATGTCACCAAGGACAACGGATCTGACGTCCTCTCCACCATCATAGAAGTAAGATTCAACCTGTGGCTGAACTTCGGTCACTTTGTCATGAGGAAGGGACAGAAAGGGAACGTAATATGTTGTCGGGGATAGGGAATGATGGGAGAATGGTACAGTGGAACTCTGGTCGCAGTCTAGGATTGCAATGTCTACATGCGGCCATGATTTACTAATATCAGACAAAGGAATCAGGAATGTTAGTCCAATAGGCAAACTGAAATGTTCAATTCTAAAGTGAAAACCCTTTGTGGTCATAAGAACTGTTAACACGGTTCTAGAAAGCTTTAACAATTCTTGAGATCTCCCAAAATTACAGGATCTCACTAGAAATGTCTAGAAACAGCATCTTCCTCAATGTCTCTTCCTATCAATTCCTTCAGCATTGTTTTACCAGTTTGTGCCCCAGTTTCTCAATTCTCATGCATCAACCTGTAATTTCATGTGCTACTCGCTCCCCTTCTCCTTGATTGGGAAGCCAGAGAGAAAGGTTCTACGACAGTGGACGACTTCCCGTTGCAACCCGTTCGGGAAAGCCAAACATTTATCTAAGAATATGAGGCCAGTCTTGCCATGACTTCCTGGTTTTTAGGGAGCAAAATCGCTAACTGTAGTTTCGCTCCTTTTCTCAGTAAATTGCTCACTCTTTTCCAAGAGTGCATTACCCCTCCAAATAAAAAGCTGTTTTTCGGTCGACTTCTCAGAAATGATGGAGCTGCAATCCCGTTCGATGGCGGCGACAGCCGTACGTACCAAGTCGCCTCTGACCGAACTTTTCAGGCTACTGCTCCTAATGATTCGATCGAGAAGCCGGTAACGAAGAAAAATTCACTTCTATACGAGAAGCGATATGTGCTTTGCTGCCTAAAAACGTTTCTTTCCAAGTATTGATATATACCTCGTAAGTTCGCCGTCTCCGGCTGTGGTATCTAGCATCCAAGGTGGCTTGTAGTTCCTCATTGAAATATGTTTTGGCTCCTAATCATGAGGATTGGCAATTTAGATGCATGCTTAATAGGTAGATGAGCGCTACTTGGACAGGCCTCGGTTGTAGGTATTTACAAAGTTTTTCTTGCAACGCTTAAAGTGCAAATCGTAAGCATTTCAAGCGAAAAGTAATGCTGAACTAGACCATTGATTCTGCCAGTTTTAATTCATAATCAATTCAAGGTAACCAAGGCATTGGTGGCACAACAGCAGGCTGATTGTACAGCTCATTTCTGAACATGTCTGTCACACCCTTGGTATTAGCCTGGAGTACTTTGAAACTAAACTGAACGTTGCCGAGTGACAGTTGGGAACTGAGACTTCGAGAAATTTCAATTTGATTTCTGATTTCACTGATCGGCCAGTCCTGCTCATCGATCCGGTACAGGGCGTTTCCTGCGTAGATGTGACGTCCCCTCGTGTTGACTTCTGACGAAATCCACCATTCGAGCAAAGTGGAATAACTCTGAGCTGCAGGTTGGTCTCTCCAATACAGCTGCGGGATCATCGCGTCCACCCAGCCGCTTCGGAGCCACCATAGGGCGTCGGCGTACAGTCCGTCGTAGGGATCGAAGCCGACGATGTCACAGGGCATTCCGTTCTCTTCGCAAGGGCGGTAAATCCCAAATGGTGAAAGAGTGAATTTTACGTTGGGCTTAACCGCTTTGATTCCATTGTAGCATCTTTGCATGAGGCGATTGACATTATCGCGTCTCCAGTCGGCTAATCCCATTTGTCCTCCTCCAGAAAGGTAGTCATCATAGGTCTCATCGTCCGGGAAAGGGACACCGTCGACAGGATACGGATAGAAGTAGTCGTCAAAGTGAATACCGTCTACGTCATAGCGAGTGGTGATGTCGATGACGACATTGTAGGTCTGATCGGCTACAACAGCTGCTCCTGGATCCATCCACATGTAGTTTCCATATGGATAACAGAACTCATTGTAAACAACACACGGATGGTCATCAGGAAGGTCATTAGTGCTACTCCGCATGTTTCCTCTATATGGATTCAACCAGGCGTGGACTTCGATTCCCCTGGAGTGTGCAGCATTCACAAAGAAGTCCAGTGGATCCCAGAACGGTGATGGTGCCTCCCCAGCGGTTCCTGTGAGATAGCTACTCCACGGTTCCAAATCGGACTCGTACATGGCGTCCCCGTGCGGTCGGACTTGAAAGAAGACAGCGTTCATATTTAGGTCCACCATCAAGTCTAAGATGTCGATTAGTTCCGATTGAGCGACAGAACTATCCAATCCCGGTTGACTGGGCCAGTCGATGTTTTGGACGGTTGCAACCTGAAAAGGTATGCTTACATGTACTAATAGTCAGGTCATCACTGATCACATTAACTTCGAGCAAAGAATTTCATTTGACTGTGTATGGATGCTAAAAATTGGGTCCCTCTGGATAATCCTTTCCCCAAAATATGTGCTTATCCCTTACTTACCCAGGCACCTCTGAACTCCATCATCTGCCCGAGGGCAGTTCCAACAAAGAGCATCCACAAGAGCAACATCGTCTTCATGTTGGTTTTCCACCGGTGAATGACAACTGAGACACGGTGCGCATAATCAAAGACTCTTATCACCATTGGTCCTGCAGGTGTAATGATTCCCACCGAAATGTGAGCAGAAATAACTCTGTTGCGAAACCTCAGGAGAAATATTCGACGGTTGCGCAAGAACTCCGCAACCATAAAAATGAAAAAATACATCATAGAAAGACAGGAGTGGAGAGGCTGTGGCAGAAATAATAAAGAAATAGATTTTTTAAATCAGCAGGTATTACCTGTCGGAAGGGGTAGGGGATAAGAGATTCTCAATTCTGCTATTGAGCACCAATCCTTCACACAGCAAGAACACTAGAGCCATCCGTTCCTCCAGGCAACGAAAAACATGTCCTTCAAGTTCAATAAGTTTATCTTCTTTAATATCTGATAGGCATGATGCTCATATGTTATATTAATTTGTCAAAGTTTTACTTTTGCAATTGCTTTCCACTTTCGTTCTGGGTGCTGAAGCCTTATTTTGAAAATTTATAAAAAGTACATTGCCAGTTTCTTTTACCAGTACATCCACATGCCTGCGTGCTGCTAATCAGGGGATCTTCAGTTATATTTTACTAGCGAGTTTGTTTGCCATTTGAGCAAACAAACTCGCAATGGTCGCTCCTTCGGCGCTCCCTTGTCTATGATAGTGATTCATTCTTTTCTTTTTTTCAAAGGGAAACCTTTTATAATTAGGTGCCTGTGGAAGTGTGTGCCATGAGAGGAAGAACCGATATTCGATTTCATCGAAATTATCACTCCGATTATTTATCGTATGCCAAACTCAAATCGCTTTCTAATCTGCCCTGAGGGGGCATATTTGAAAAGAAGATCTGCACTCAGGAATGGAACAGGTACTTTTGCTCCAAGTTTTAGCTTTCTTTAGTTCATGCATGCATTTGAAACATGACATTTTTCCTGAACTCAGCCTCAATAGGCACGTCCATGTCAAGTTTCAGCTTCCCATGTCTCTTTGTTTGACTGAAGCGTCAATGGGCGCGGTAGTGCCCATTACCTTTCTTCAACCCCTTCCGGCGACAAAATTCAACCGTCTCGTATTCATAGGCACGTCCATGTCAAGTTTCAGCTTCCCATGTCTCTTTGTTTGACTGAAGCGTCAATGGGCGCGGTAGTGCCCATTACCTTTCTTCAACCCCTTCCGGCGACAAAATTCAACCGTCTCGATAAGGTGAGACTCTCGTTGTTGTACATATTTTAAACCGCACGAAGAAGGAGAGAGTTGTGTCTTAGCGAGGTCGTTGAAACTTCGAGATAGAGGGACCCCAACGCCTCTTGTGACTTAGAGCGAAAGGGGAGATGTGAATTTAGTTCCGGTATTTTTTTTATTTTTACACACCTGGGTAGCCACTCCTGGGCAGTTTTCAGAGAAATTGTACTACCAAATCAAAGATGTTGACCTGGAGGTGATAAAAGTGCCCCTTTTTGCTTTCAGTGTACCACTTCGCCATTAGAAAAAAGGAAATTAGATGGCATTAATTTAGGCTTAGCGCAATGGCTTCGGTCCCGTCCTCCAGTGCTGCCGGATATCATGCCAGCGTTTTCTCCGATTCATGGCTCCTTCAGCCTTAGTATCGTTGTCTGGATCTTCCTTTTTTATTTTAGGGCAACATTGTTGTGCTGAATTCATGGGGTGAGCTGAGATTGAAGCGGTGTTTTGCTGTGGCCAATTGATTTGGTGGAATACGGAGATATATCTCATCGGACATCCCTAAATTAATATGATGGTGGCCAGCTCGTTTGTCATGCTTTGTCATGTAAAGGCATTTTCGTCTCAGAACGAGTCGAGACGATTCGAGGAACTCTGGTATGCCTAATCTTCCCCGACCGCTCTGAAATGGCTCATGAAACTCAAAATAGACCTTCATTCGATGGAACGTTACACGTTCTCTGTTAAGTGAGCCATGAGAGACTGAAACGGCCTGCGATCGGCCTAACGTTACAAGTCCTCAACGAGGTGTCATGAAGAAGGCGTCATACTCATCACCTTAATAACAATAATGATAATCAATGGTACCTATGTGTTTTGTCGTTTCAATGGGTGGGATCACAGCCGCATCTCGCAGATGAAATTTTCATGGTTTTCCTGGTCTTAATCAAATCTTTCGGATTTAGTTGCCGCGATGACTATTGTTTGTTCATAAGAAAAATGCAGGTAATACTTCAAGTGGAAAATACACGAAATTGGACTTGTTTATTTTTGTCTTTTTACTTCATTTCCCAAGGCAGTAATGCTTTGTACTTAATTTAAGAGGCAGTAATGCTCTGGACTCATCCTGTCGGGAACATTTTGACGAAATCATTCATTTTATAAATGGGAACTTTTAACACCGAAGTAATAGGACTGACTGCGTCTAGTTCTTTCAACGACGCATGAAATATTACATTTTAGTGCTCATAAACTTGAGTACATTTCAAGCAGTTACAAATAACATTTCATTTAAATAATAAAAAGTAAGAAAAAGCATTTTCATTAAAATCATGTCTTAGAGAACTTCTAAATCTGCTTCCACGACATTGGATTGCAACCTCCCAATTCCGAAGGTAGTTACCTGAGAGTATAGGCAATACGGGCGACTGCAATCTGAAACCAATAATTGAATAAAGGCGAAACGCGTTTCAATGTATCTAGGTGGGCATCACGTTTCCGCGCTAGGCGTAGCAAACGATGCAAGACAATGCGAGAGCGGGTCGCCAGCGAANATGCCTGCGTGCTGCTAATCAGGGGATCTTCAGTTATATTTTACTAGCGAGTTTGTTTGCCATTTGAGCAAACAAACTCGCAATGGTCGCTCCTTCGGCGCTCCCTTGTCTATGATAGTGATTCATTATTTTCTTTTTTTCAAAGGGAAACCTTTTATAATTAGGTGCCTGTGGAAGTGTGTGCCATGAGAGGAAGAACCGATATTCGATTTCCTCGAAAATATCACTCCGATTATTTATCGTATGCCAAACTCAAATCGTTTTATAATCTGCCCTGAGGGGGCATATTTGAAAAGTAAGATCTGCACTCAGGAATGGAACAGGTACTTTTGCTCCAAGTTTTAGCTTTCTTTAGTTCATGCATGCATTTGAAACATGACATTTTTCCTGAACTCAGTCTCAGTAGGCACGTCCATGTCAAGTTTCAGCTTCCCATGTCTCTTTGTTTGACTGAAGCGTCAATGGGCGCGGTAGTGCCCATTACCTTTCTTCAACCCCTTCCGGCGACAAAATTCAACCGTCTCGTATTCCACTCTGAGAGCAACAACATGTATAAAATTTGGCGTGCTTCTTCCTCTCTCAACACAGAATCGCTCCAGCAACTTTGAAGCTCTATCTCCCTGGGGTTGCGGAGAACACTGAATCTCGCTTTTGGGGAGATGTGAATTTAGTTCCGGTACTTTTTTATTTTTACACACATGGGTAGCCACTCCTGGGCAGTTTTCAGAGAAATTATACTACCAAATCAAAGATATTGACCTGGAGGTGACAAAAGTGCCCTTTTTTGCTTTCAGTGTACCACTTCGCCATTCGAAAAAATGAAATTAAATGGCGTTAATTTAGGCTTAGCGCAAAGGCTCCGGTCCCGTCCTCCAGTGTTGCCGGATATCATGCCAGCGTTTTCTCCGATTCATGGCTTCTTCACCCTTAGTACCATTGTCTGGATCTTCCTTTTTTATTTTAGGGCAACATTGTTGTGCTGAATTCATGGGGTGAGCTGAGATTGAAGCGGTGTTTTGCTGTGGCCGATCGATTTGGTGGAATACGGAGATATATATCTCATCGAACATCCCTAAATTAATATGATGGCGGCCAGCTCGTTTGTCAAGCTTTGTAAAGGCATTTTCTTCTCAGAACGCGTCGAGACGATTCGAGGAACTCTGGTATGCCTAATGTTCCCCGACCGCTCTGAAATGGCTCATGAAACTCAAAATAGACCTTCATTCGATGGAACGTTACACGTTCTATGTTAAATGAGCCATGAGAGACTGAAACGGCCTGCGATCGGCCTAACGTTACAAGTCCTCAACGAGGTGTCTTGAAGACGAGGGATTCATACTCATCACCCTAATTGGTCAGTAGGCCAAGGATTGAGTTTATTTAGAACGAAACAAGGTAGGCCTAGGCCTGACCCGAGGACAGTCCGTCGGTTAGGCCTAGGCCTAACATTAGTGAGTTCCGTAGAGGTGGGGGTTGGATTAAGGGAGGTTGGGTTGGATTAAGGTAGGTTGGGTTGGATTAAGGTTGAGGAAAGGTGAACCATTGAAATTGGTTTTCACATTCCTGCACATTATATTCGAAAACAGCTCCGCCCAAATTGGGAACCCAATTTTGGACTCAGCATCCCAATAGGTACTTACGTGCCAAGTTTCATCCTTCCATCCTATCTAGAACATGGGTAGAATTAGCGTCAGTCAGTCACGATCGTCTACATGTATTAGATCTTCAAATTCCAGAGGTCCTGAATGTGCATTTAATACGTTTTATACCTCATAAGAAACAGCGATTTCACCAAGAAATAAGCAAGGCAATGATGAGTTACTTTATTGTCTTTCACTTGACTCAGGCACTAATACATGAGGAGTGCAGGAGCCCATGAGTATTCGAGTCAAATGAACATTTTATCAATCACTGTAATATGTAAATTTGTCAATTCCCTTTAATTTCTTTGGATCCAAACTTTGCATAATTTGAAATTCTTCTCCGGCGGTTCTGCGTCAATGGGTTATTAACTTAACATTTTGAAGTAGTAGGAGATATATTAGAATACATTTCTTTTGAACGACTAAAAAAAATATTTTACCGTCAGAGTAACACCCATTTATATTCTCAATTTAGTCAACATAAACAGGGAAAATGCTGATGGTTTCCTGGTTTGCAGCACCCGGTCACAGAGTGACTAAGTCCCATCTAGTCCGTTTGTCCCTGACCTGATGGGGCTTCGTTTCGAACCGAATTTGCTAGGAATATCAAAAGGAGTTAGACGCGTGAGGATAATAACAATAATGATAATCAATGGGTGGGATCACAGCCGCATCTCGCAGATGAAATTTTCA